CTCCTCCTCCTCCTCCTCCTCCTCCTCTTCCTCCTCCTCTTCCTCCTCATCCTCCTCCTTCTCCTCCTCCTCCTCCTCCTCCGTCTCCTCCTCCTCCTCCTCCTCCCCCACTCAGTACACGCAACTGAAGCTAAACGAACCGTGGTGAGCATGAGCCTCCGGAGGTCGGCGCGGATCTTTCTTGGATCGGCGCTGGACCGCCCCCTCTCCTTCCCTTGGCGCGACGGCGCTGGTGGCGCCGATAGGGGGTCAAGCACCGATCCAAGAACTCCGCGCGTTTTCTTATTAGGCGTTTCGACATTGGGCGGAAAGGGGGGGGAGAGGGGGGGTCTGGCTCCGGACCTCTGCTTAATGCGACTGTTTGCACCAGTGCGTCCCGTGGGCGAGATCCACCTGCTCGAAACAGGCGTCAGGAACAGCCAAGATCTACAGTACTCAATGGGGGGGGGAGGGGGGGTGCGAGGGCCCGCGCCGATCGGCAAAACAACGAATAAGAGAAACGATCACACGTTGATGCTTGTATGTTTCTTCTTCGACTCAGGGCCCCAAGTCGGCCCAGGAGCGCCTCAAGACGGCCTCCAGAGGGCGCCCAGACGGCTCACGAGGGTTTCTGGAATGAACTCCGGCGGTAGCCTCACCTCGGAGGACCGTGTCAAGCGGGGCTTTGAAATACCCCCTCCTTGTCCTCGTCCTCGTTCTCGTCCTGCTTCGTGTCCTCGCCCTCCTTCCTCCTCCTCCTCCTCCTCGTCCTCCCCGTCCGTCTCCACATCCTTCTTCTTCATCTGGATCCAGGCCAAACTGGAATGCCAAGGAGACTTGTGAGCTCCAACTGCTTGACTTGGCCCTCTTCCTCACCGCACCTGACCATGTTGCCGTCCCCTCTTACCTTGTGGTAACTGAGTGCGCTTGATGCGCATGTCGGGAACGACTATTGTGGCCAATGTGAATTAGCCAGCCGCGGTGGAGACCAGATCAGCTGCGGTACGGCCCAACCCTCGCGCGCGCGACAGACGAGACGGCGCGGCCGGTGAAAGAGGCCGCGCGAGGCTGACAAGCAGGATGGGCAGAGCGCACGACATCTTTGAACAGCTGGCGGCGTGCCCCACAACCAGAAGCCCATATCGATTCTGAACTCTGCGTCGGACTCCTTCAAGTTGGCACCTCAGCGCCCGCACACCCTACCGAGACTCATGCCGACACTGCGCCAATCGTTCGAAGCATGCGGGCGACCATCTCGAAGGGACACATGGGCCTCAATCACGTTCGGCCTCGGTCCTCAGGGCTCAATGGTTGCAAGTAGAAGCAAGACGACAAGGCGCGCTCCTCACTAGAGGGCTTCCGACAAGCTGTCCCGCCCTCCAATATGTCATTGAACTTGCAGCAGCACGATAGCTCTCGCCTGAATCCACACCACAACACGAGTCTGGTGGCCACCTGGGCAGTCGAACAAAACAGAAAACCATCGCACGAGTTCAGCAAGGCTCGAGGCCCTCAAGACAAACATAAAGATGTTTTGAGTTGCTTGGTGGCCGTCCAAACACAATCATAAACGCGTGTGCAACGTTTTTCACGGTACGGGCTCTGGCACAAGAATATTGTTTGCGTTCGGGTCTATGGCCCTAGGCCGGAGGGGTGCAAAGCAGGGTGCGTGGGAATGGCCGCTACTGACGGGCGCTTCTTCACAGCAACAATCGCTCCTTGCCCCCGTTCCGTTTGTCCCGCACTCTGAGGTGAGCCGCGGTTGGCGGCGTCGCCGGCGTGTTGTTTGTTCCTCTGCTTGCATCAAACACGCTCTGACCATCCACCAACCAAGGTTTGATTCTAATTGGTCTAGGCGCGGCCCGCTTTACAGGATGGGGAAGAAACAAATGTGCGGTCGCTCCTGGCATGGGCTCTCTGGCTCAAAGTCCTCTTTGTGTTGTCGGGCCTTCGGCCCTGCAGTAAACACGTCAGACAAGAAGCCGGTTGCCAACAGGTGCCCCAGTGGAAACTTCGTATCACTCGAGAGGCCTGGGGGCTCGCAGAGGCCCTGGGGCACCTCAAGGAGCTCAAAGCTCGACGGCAACCGTGTCCCTATCCTGGCCAGTGGGCGACACGCCCTCATACCCACAGGGGTTGCGGACTCGCGCCTCGCGGCTTGAAGGCGCGCTCCAAGTATGGGCGCGGATTGTCGGACCCCGAGGGGGGCTGCCCTTCGAGCGGGGGCCCCATCCGAGATCACGCACCCCGAGGGGGGCGCCCCGACGAAATCTACGCGGAGAAGTCTGACGGCGCACAAGTATGGGGGCTTCTTGCAAGCTCATGGTAGCAAGATTTCGGGTCGTATGTCTACTGTACACAGGAAGTGAAGAAAGGACTTAGGGTACCATGTCAGACCTCCTCTAGAAATTGAACATACGGTGGACGGATCCCGCCTTTTCTCGGACCTTGTACTGTCTATAGACGCATCCACCCCGATTGTGTCGATGTATGTGATGACATTCGATGCGTCTATAAACGCTTGTGGCATCGGCCCCAGATATGGGCCTTCCGCAACAGGTCGACTTTGTCCTCCAAGGACGGAGGGAGGAACAGGGCGCGGGGGGAACGAGGTTGCGGCGGGCCCACAAACGCTCTCGCCCGGCTTTCTGGGGCGGGCAAGGCCTCCAGCCACAGCCGTCCTGGATCCAACACTGCTGCGCCCCAATGGGATCAGACCGCCAGCTCCTCTAGAGAAGGGGCACGGAGGGAGAGGAGGTGGCAGGAGCGGGGGGGGGGGGGCAGGAGGAGCATGAGGATGCATCAGACAAGAGAAGGGATTTTGCATCGGAATCGAGCTCTGGGGGCACCGGGTCAAACTTGTCTGCGTGTGGCACCTGAGCGTCGCCTGGCTGGTTCGCCAGTTTATAACAAGTTATCAGAGTTCCGTGTCTTTGCCATGAGGACCTGTCAAGGTACTTGTGTGGGCCGCTGTGCCAGCAGGTGCTCTGCAAGGGCGGTCTGGAGCACTCACCGTCGTTGGCCGACTAGGCTGACAGGCCCCCCCGCACCACCAACACCACGGAGCAGGGCCGCCTACGTGCAACGCCAGGCGCTCAGACCTGAGCGGACTTTCAAGCCTCGAGAGGCATACTAGCCTCATACCAGTACAAGTCCTTATCAGGGTCGCTCAATACAACGCTCGATCGGTCACCACTAGGTTCGCCAGTGGGTTTGCAGGGAAGCTCTGAAAGGGCCCGCGACAAGGCTCTCAGGCTACAGATGAACGATCTCAGCGTGCACCTTGTGGGAGCCCAAGAAGCGAGGACATCCAAAGGCATCGGGCTGGTCGACGACTTTCTCATCATTTCCTCTGGATCCAGCTCCCGGGGCTTTTGAGTGTAATTGTGGGTTCACACTAGATCTCCCATGCGTCCAGAAGTAAAAATCAATGCCGTTTCACAGCGAGGCACGTTCGTGTTCTCTCGTCCTCGCCTCGCCTCGCCCCCTGCGCGTAAGAATTGAGGCTCCAGCAGTTTCTCTCGTTGCCCTGGTGGCCCACGGCCCTCACGCCCGCAGTGACGCCGCTGACAGACAATGATGCCAACTACATGACACTTGGACGCCGAATTTGGTTTTCATCGATGCCAACGTCCGCCTAGGTTCCGTGCTTTCCTCTGCCGTTGGGGAGATAGAGCCGGGGCAGAATGAATGTGCTCTCGGTGTCGCGATGCATCGCTTCCTCGTTGAAGCCAACATGAGGGCCCTCAACGCACTTTTGCTCGATACCGACTCAGGGCGCACCTTTGTCAGCAACAGCGGAGCTTTGCATCGGATCGACTACATGCTGACGGATCCCCAGTTGCATGCGCTAGCCCAGTCTTGCTTGGTTGCGTATTCTTTCGACCATGGGTTACGCGCGAAGGATCATTGCTCTGTCATTGCGGATTTCAAGTGGGCTGTCGCCTCCAACCGCAACCCCGAAACCAACGCAATCAAGCTTGACCAACAACTCCTGCTTGACCCCGTGGCCGTCGAACAGTCTTGGAACTCTTTGCAAGCCATCCCCCCTCGAACCGTGGAGCCTGGAGGTCAACGGGCGCTGTCGCAGCGTGACCCAACAGGCGCTGAAGCCCCCAATGCTTTTTCCAGGCCACGCCTACGCACCGCCAAAAAAGCCCTACGCGCCCCAAGTGTTCCCAGGAGTTCTTCCATGGCGCAGAGGAGTCCGAAGAACGTTGAAGAAGTTCCCCACCGCGGAACACCTCGAAAATAACTCACTTGATCGCCGTGCGCTTTGGAGGTTCGCACAGAGGGCCACAAAAGGCAACCTGGCCAGCACTGGGTCACCTCAGGAGCCCCCCGCCCTCGCTACCCTGCTTGATCAAGTCGCGCTAGCATCCGGGATTTACCGTTCAGGGTCCCCCCCCCCCCCCCACCCCACGCACGCAGAACTACATTGCGTCAGGCTCACCCACTTTCTACATAAGGCAAGCGTCGAGATGGCCCAGCAGTTGAAGGCCGGCCGCGCCCGCTTCCTCGACGAGCTGGCAGGGCAAGCGCACATTGCAGCAGATGCCGGTTTGCCCAGAGACATGTGGAGACATCTCAAGACGATGCTCGTGCACGGAGGAGGTGGACGAGGAGGGCCCTCTAAATCGTCCGATGTTCTACCATGCATGACCGCCGAGGGAGCTCCCGACCCCATCTCCCTATCTTTGGCACCTGGGGCCCTCGAAACTCAGCGCGAAGTGACCGACCTCGCGCAACGTCACCCCGGCAATGTTGAGCCAGGGATCAGGACCGAACGTTCCCAGATGATCAGGGAACGCAAAGAGATGCCTGACCTTTTTGCCGACCTGTCCCAACATATGCTGGAATGCACCCCCTCGGTTTTCGATATCGAATGCCTTCTCAGAAGCCTCAGGGAAGGCAAGGCCCCGGGCATTGATGCGTTCCCCCCAGATCTATTCAAGGTGGCACCCCAACAATTTGCGCGTCTACTCTGCCAGCTCCTGACTAAAGTGTGCCTTGGAGGAAGAGAACCTCTCATGTTCAAGATTGGAGAAGTCATCGACTTCTTCAAAGGATTGGGGGCCATCTCGGTAGCCAACAATAAGCGCGGCATACCTCTGGCCAACGCCGTCTGTCAACTACATCACACATTCGTCAGGAACAAGGCCGCGCAATATTTCTCCTCAGCATTGCTTGATGTCCACTGCGAGGGTGTTGGAGGAAGGAACACCGAGATGATCGCCCTCGCCTCCAGACTGCTTGTTCGGAATGCGAACACAAGGAAAAAGTCACGCGCCACCCTGCGCCTCGATCTAGCCCAGGCCTTCTACAGCACCATCAAGCAACTAGCCTTATCATTACCATGTGAGAGTGATCGTCTAGAATCTGCTCTCCAGCACATGGACAATCCGAAATTGCTCCTGGATGGGCGTTGCACAGCAATTGGCCCAGGAACCACTCTTGAGCACTGGTGACAGCGTCATCCACCCACATCTTCTCCGCTTGATCGAGGAAACCCAGAGAGGCTCCTATTTGCAAGTGCGTTCAGCCATGGACTTTCAGGCCCCCTCAGTAGTCCCAGGCCTGGCACCTTGTTTGCTACCGGCGCGTTTGATGCAGTGTTTCGGAAGGTGCACCTTGATATGCAAGCGGAGATGGTTGTTCAGCAGTTAACCTTACAAGATGTAGAGCAGGAGCCACTTGCACTCTTGCCTAGAGAGGACGACTGGTACAAGGCCAGCAGCGACCTTTCATGCGATGGTCTCACAGTGCCCACCCAGGTTGACTGGACAGGCGAGCCCCCTCGCAAAGCCATGCGCCTCGCGGAGATTGTGTACTGTGCAGCGTGTAGATCAGGCTGCACCTCCAATGCTCTCAAGACCAAGGTTCTTGCTTCCTTCTGCGGGCCTGGGGCCCGCAAGGTGCTATCGCTCCGTCCGGGCGGCAAGTTTTGCAGTGTTCAGTCCGCTAGGTGGGGGTGTTCGTTTCCTGTTGTTCGCGCCCAGAAGATCTTAGACGCCCTCGTTGACATCCGAGGCCCCCAGGGGCCCGAGATTGTTTCCAGGTGTGCAAAATCCCTAGCTGCGTTGAAGCCCATGAAGGCTACCGTGGTCTCAAGACAAGGGTCACATTAGCTGAGGCGCTCAGCTCGTCAGTCTTGCCCTCTGGTTATGCAACCTGGGCGCGTTTATCACTGCGCCATGCCCGACTCGTCAGCGCCGCTCACATTAGCGTTTACATATATGCCATGAACCGACTCATTTCCAACAGCGCAGAGATGCAGCACGCCAGCCCCCATATATGGTCCAGGGCTTGGGCCCCCCCCCCCCAATGCTGATGCCATTGGCCCCCCCCCCCCCGCGCGATGGCCCCCCCGCCCCCCCCTGTGGGCGTGGCGTGGTGCTGCGCTGCGGTGCCCCCCCCCCCCCCTGTGGATGTGGTGTGGTGCTGTGGTGGTTCAGAGGTGGGCGTGGCGTGGTGCTGCGCTGCGGTGCCCCCCTCCCCCCCCCTGTGGATGTGGTGTGGTGCTGTGGTGGTTCAGAGGTCGTCGTCGTCGTCGTCGCCGTCGTCCGTCGTCGTCCTCGTCGTCCTCGTCGTCCTCGTCGTCCGTCGTCGTCGTCGTCGTCGTCGTCGTCGTCGTCGTCGTCGTCGTCGTCGTCGTCGTCGTCGTCATCATCGTCGTCGTCGCCGTCGTCATCGTCGTCATCGTCGTCGTCGCCGCCGCCGCCGGCGTCGTCGCCGCCGCAGCCGTCGTCGTCGTCGTCGTGGTCGTCGTCGTCGTCGTCGTCGCCGTCGTCGTAGTCGTCGCCGTCGTCGCGTCGCCGTCGCCGTCGCCGTCGCCGTCGCCGTCGCCGTCGCCGTCGCCGTCGCCGTCGTCGTCGTCGTCGTCGTCGTCGTCGTCGTCGTCGTCGTCGTCGTCGTCGTCGTCGTCGTCTCGTCGTCGTCGTCTCTGGGACCATACCATCTGGGGGGGGGGGCCGAGGAATCCTGGGACCATACCATCTGGGGGGGGGGCCCGTGGGCCCTCGACCCTGGATCATATTTACCTACTTGTTGGCAAATTTCCTGGCATGTCATTGTTGCGATTGCTCGGCTTCGTTTCCTTACGCGCGCGTTGCATAGAGCCCCCCCCCCCGTTCTCCGTGTCCTGGTCGATCTGACCAGTCAAGAGAAGGAGGGTTGGGTGACGCTATTGAGAGAATATTTCAAATGGCTTCACTTTCACGCAAGGGACCACACCTTCCGGGGCCCGTGGAGGTCCAACAATGGGTCGAGTTAGCGGAAGGGCACCCGCGTCAGTTTCTTGCCAAGGTCCAAACAGCTATCTCGCACGCAAGGCCCTACTTCCAGGACAGGGACCGTTTTCAAGTCTGGAAGCGTGCTCTGGACAAAACTGTTGAAGGGATCCCGTTAGCAGACCCACCCCCAGCAGGCCCCAGGCTCATGTGCATTCAGCGTGGGCATGTTGCTGCGTCAGCTCGACTCCTTGCGGTGTACGTTGGAAAGGCACACAGGTCCATCAACGATCCTTCGTCTCTCGCCACCAGTGGATGCTACCAGATTGGTCTCCGAGGTTTTGGACAGATCAGCAGGCTCGTTAAACGTGTATCGAATACCCCATCTTGCCGGCGCTCGTGGACAGCCAGCGCATACAGGCCACGCCATGATGAGTTGCAGGAAGCGCGCGCGAGCGCCAGGCTCGAGGCGGCGCGCAACGGAGCCAGCGGGAGATCAGACACCTGTGCGCAGCAACCATGGGCACAATGCCAGGGTCCCCCCATTGCCCCCCGTATCAAGTGCACCCGCAAGGAGCTCCGTGGGGCCCATGCTCTACCCATGGTCGTCCCGCTCCCTGTCGACGAGATGTCTCACTGGCTTCCCCCCAGAATGCCCACCAGGGCCATCTTGTAAGTGCTTCATATGTTACCTGGGCATCGTGGGGTAGGAGATGTTCTAGACCACCTATAGAGGCCCTAAGAAGATCCCGTCCGACCAATATCCATGTTTCTGCGTTGACATGTTCTACGATGCATTACTTGGGGACCTACAGTCTGTCCTGGGCATCTCCCGTTGGTTAGAGATGCTTCGCTCAGGTCGTGTTGCTGGGGTCATTATGCCCACCCCCCCTAGCAAGAGCTGGACCAACCCGAAACCCAGGCCACAGCGCTCGCAGGGCCATCCCTGGGGACTAGGACACCTGAGCGACAAGGAAAACCAGAAGGTCTCTACGGCCAACCAGCTCTTTCGTGCGGCACTCACGTTTCTGCATGAAGTGTGGGCTCGCCAAATACCAGCGATATTGGTGCACCCAGCCCAAAGTGATCGGATCCCAGCTTCCCCCAAGGCATGGTCTTTGCCAAAAGCTCGGGCGCTCTCAGCACAACCGCATGTGTGCCTGCGCACTCTCCATGTGTGCAGATTCGGTGCCAGTGCTTGCCATCCTACTTCTCTGTTGGCTGTCCACACCCCGTCCCTTACAAACCGGCTCGATTCGATGCAGGAAGGACCCCTTCGCAATCATCCCCAGGGCCATGGGGCCCTGGGCGGCCTCCCTTCTGATAGCCCCATGGACCCTGCCAGGCCACACTTGATGCCCTTAGGACTTTGTGATCTTCTTGCGTCCACCATGTTTCAGGAAGCTCGGCAACGTTGGCCGATCCGTGGGGGCCGATGCGACCAATCACATGTTGGCCATCCTTCCCGTAGGCCTCGTTGTTGGTGTCTTGCAACGGAGAAGAAGTTAAGGGAGTTAGTAGATCTGGGCACCCCAGGCGATGACTGGTCACTACCTTTCGGGTTGCGCAGATTTTGCACCCCTCAGGATCCATATGTGTACACCGTTGCAGGGTCGGATTGTGCATTGCACCAGCGGAGGTTATGCCCAACTGTGCCGACCTAGGACTGTGCCTGTTCCCCTCAAATCACATCCGACTGCTGCTCAAGGTAGGCTTTTTTCTGGGGAAGGGCCTGGGCGGGAAGGTGTGCCGTGCTCTTTCAAATACAATACCGCTCAGGTGCTGCAGCTCGGCCGCAGCTCGTCTTTGACAGTACCCTATACACGGACGAAGGGTTCTTTTCTTCCTTCCCCCATTTCACTGGCCTGCAACCCCTTTTCGTGCGCCTGTGGCAGTAGTCCGCCGTGGAGACCGAGGCAGCTGCCAATGCTGTTTGTTGCTCTCTCCTTTTTCTTTTCCTTTTCTCTGCATCCCACCCCGCATCGGCATCAACCATCTCTGCCTGAGCATGAATGAGTGATTGAGGAGGAGGAGGAGGAGGAGGAGGAGGAGGAGGAGGAGGAGGAGGAGGAGCGCCAGTGCCCGCAGGGAGGAGGAGGAGGAGCAGGAGGAGGAGAAGGAACACGACGTGACGACGTGGAGAGGCGCGACGGCGGCCGAGAGGGAGAGCGTGGTAGCCGAAGGCAGGGGCGCATCTTGGTATCGCGACGATTCAGCGCGCAAACTCGTGTATGCTGCCGCTCCCTTCCCGCCTCTCCCCGCCCCCTCCTCGGCCCCCGCACTCGGCGCGGTGCCGCGCGCACCGCCCCGTGCAGATCCGATGGCGATGCCGCTGGGGCGAGCGCCAGAAACCTCCTTCCAGGGCGCACCCGCGTGAGCGATGACCAGGTGCTCCTTCTCCGCAGCGCCACTTCCGCCGGTGACCTCGAGAGGCATCCGCGGCCACGGGCCGTCACTCTCGGCCCGCGCGCGGCCCGCGCGAGGCTGCGGCTGCCGCGCGGTGGGACCTCTGGCAGGGGGCCGCTGGCTGCGCAGGGCGGCGGTTGCCCGCCAGCGCGCCGCAAGCACCAGGTGCCTCGCCATCGCTCGGACGTCAATGTCCCGCGCATGTCTCGATTTCGTGCTTGTCTTGCTGGATGATCTAGCATGCTCCTCGATAGTCCTCGCTGAGAGAAAATGCATGCGCCCGAGCGATGTCAAGGTGCACTTCGGCTACACGCCAGAGTGACCGTAGGCAAGAGTGACCTTTGGTGCGCAGTTTTCGGGGGGCCGCGGGGGGGCAACCCCACGCGCGCAAGACGCCACAAGCGCATCGCGTTCGGCAATCGGGAGACCCATGTGGGCCCGCACCAAGGGTCACTCCAGCGAAGGGTCACTCTTTCGAACACCGCCCGCAGGTCCGTTCGTGAGCGTGCCAGCGCGCTCAAGGGATTCTCGCGCGACTTACCCTGGGCCGGGGCCATACACTTCCAGCGTTCATCAAAACATCCCATGGGGGACTTTCTTTCCGCTACGCGCAAATGGCACCCCAGCGTTAATAGGTTTTCCACGCGAAAGCGGTCGGGACTGAGTCGCGAGCAGTGCCGGTGGCCAGGTCAACCAGAGCATGCGAGCATAATGAGACCCACTCAGCAGGAGGACTGGCAAAAAAGGAAGAGAGGCATCTCCAGAAGGGGGCATCTAAGGGCGCCCATCGGCTCCTGTTAGGCCATATTGGATGCTCTGGGGGCGGCCCGTGAAGCTAAAATCGCCCAACACGTCTGAGTTTGCACAGCTTTAGCATGCGATCAATGAGGAGGCGAAGGTCGATTCCAAGTGCGCAGGGTTCACCAGAGCGTCTCACAACCGCACCGATGGCGAGGTGTGGAACGCCTATGTCGAGTGCGAAGCATTGTCCCCCAGCAGCGTACGAATACACTGCTCACCATGAGATGGGCAAACAAATTCGGCGCGAATGATAGCCCAATGCTGGCACAATAACAAGCCAATCTGGCCTCAATCTCCCCATTGCGGCCTCGAAACACCCTCAAATTCTCCAATCGACCCCCAGATGGTTTCATGAGCCCCCGTGGCCTCCCACGGGGCCCCGCAAGAGGTGTCGCCACAACCATGCAACGCCAAGGCAGTGCCATGGTACAGAATCATTGCTCATAGTTCCCCAAGCGCCATGGCGGATATGCGTGGCAGGGCAAACGCGCACACGAAATCTCACTCCTCCTGTCGCCGCTCCCCTTCCCTCTTCCCTGGCTGGCCTCACTGCGACACTCCCCCCTCCTGGTGTACGCTCGGCTGCAAACTCGTAGGCCCCGATCTGGTGGTCCGCTCCTCAGTCTGGCTCCGCTGCACCGCTCTAACCCCGCGGCGCCAATTCAAGGGGAAGAGATCGGAGCCTCCAACCGCGAGACTGCCGTGGAGCCCAGCGACGACATCAATGACGGGCTGAGCTCGCACTGGTTGCCGCTGCCGAGCGCGAGCGCGTCGCCGGCGTTATCGCCCCATGCAAACACCTGACTCGGACATGAATTATGGGCCTCTCTCTAACTGCTCGTCCTCCTCCTCGGCGTGGTCCCTGATTCTCCTGGTATGCTTCGATCGTGTGCCCAAGCGCCGTGCCAAGGGCTTGCGCAATGGCTCCTGTACGGTGTTGTGCTGATGCGCATGCCCACAAGAACCCGTCGCGCGCACACCTATTCCATGGCTGGCCGGAGGAGCACGAGACGGAGCAGCCGCGGGAGGACAGAGAGTCCGAGCGCCAACAAGTCTGATCCATCTCACCTCAACACCTTCGGCAAGCTCCGTCGCCGTTTTAGGAGAGCGCCCGCTGGCGCTAGCTATCTCGGCGGAGGCCACACTTACGTCTAAAGAGAGAACAGGGGGAAGAGGGCGGAGGAAAAGCAGGAATGAGAGGGCCCTCACACTTCTTGACAACCGCCTCCATCCAAGTTCTGTATCGCATCATACATTCACATACAGGTGTCCGCTAAGCTTGTGCGTGACTGATGTGATACTATCTGGTGTGGTCAAAGAACATGCGTCGATGGAAGGAGTGCGCTCGCAGGCCTTGCATGGTCACAACAAGAAAGATCTCATGATAACAAACGAACAACAGTTCAGAGGTTTGCCCTGCACCTGCCCTCGACCACTCACAGCGAAGCTCATGTTCCTGGAAGCCACGGCCTGCTGGCATTTGTTTGGAAGTCCCCTCTCGATCCACATGAGAAGCTGGCTTGCAACTGGAAGGTCCTCCCACAGCAACGACGCAACAACTACTCAAAAAGATCGGCTCCTCATCGTGCCGCTTGCATGCTCGTGCGTGAGTGAGCGCCTCGCGCTATTCCAAAAGGTATCCTTTATTCGTCAAGTTGTGTTGATGGTTATGGCATCTGCATCCAAAACCATGCTGTCCGTAAGTGTGGTCGCCCCTCGCAAGCTCGGTTGCCTCGACATCGCATGGGCCCTGCGCGCTTGGCCAAGATTCTACTTGGGGTCCTTGAGGCGCCATCGATAATGAAAGGACTGAGCCGCGCAAACTGATATTTGGTCAAGATGGCTACCCAGCGAGGAGCACAACAACAAACCACAGCAACGGTGGAACGAGAGCTCACTTGACGTGGAAGCCAACGCATACAGATGTTACACGGGCCGCCTGGCTCATCAGCTAATGACATCGGTTGCAAAATCTAGCGCCCCACGCTCCGCGCGAATTGGCACTAGGCAAGGCGTCCCAAAAACCGTGATCGATGGAGGTCACCTGGAGAGCAGTTGCGCATTGCGGGTCATCCCCGCCGCCTTCATGAAACACAATGCACCGAAGCCTCACGTCCGCCAGGAGGCCCGAAAAGCGTTTCAATGGCGGACGGCGCCCCCTGAAAAGCGCGTCCTGCACGAGCTCCTGCAGCCCCTCGACCAGAGCGGGTCTGAACCTTGCGCCGGATCTCTGGGGGGCCTCGTCTGTCCAGCACGATGTGGACACTTCGCGTACCCGACGCGGATAACGGCGCGATCATCGCGCAACTACCTGCGTCGACTCCGTGCGAGCGCGACAGGCACGACCATCGCGCCGCCATCCTCGTCGAGTTCGCCGCTGTCCGCGCCGAGTCCGCATCGGCATCGCGCTGCGATGGGACAGACGACCCCTCCCCAAATCAGCATCGCTAAGCCCATCCCCGTCCCCACTGGGAGAGACCTCCTTTGGCCCCGCCGCCCGACCTATGCCCAAAGTGAGAGGAAAGGGGCCGCCTCCGCCGGGCTCCGCGGCATCCACCTCCCCTCACCCGAGGGGGCAGGTTGGTGGCGCTGCGGAACCCTGACCCACTGGTGAACCAAAAGGTCCCGATACCGCTGCTCCCCGGACCTCTCCCAGGGGGCGTTCTGAACAGAATCTCGAAGCGAATCCAAGCGTGGCGACGAAGGCCTCCCTGGAGGCCCAAGAAGGCGAGAACGAGGCAAGGATAGCGGCATCGGCACCTTTGCCTCCTCTGAAGCCCCGGCCCACTGGGGAGCAGGGCAGGCCCGACGATGCTGACCGAAGACTCCGCGCGAGTGAGCCGCGGCTTGCCATCGCCGACGCCGAGCTGCCCTGCGGCGTTGCCGCCCCAAGCGAGCAGCCTGCCAGAGCCCGTGAGAGCGAGCACGTGGCGGAGCCCCGCCGACACGGCGACGATGGGCTCGCCTCTCGGGGCGCGGCCGCTTGCGGGCGGCGGCCGACCAAAGACTTGAATCAATGAGTAAAACGGCCCCCAGAGGTGCTCTCGAAGAAGAGCCCTGAAGGAGGAGCGCAAGCTGACATTTCTTCACCCCCGTCTCACTTGTTTGTGTACCCATATCTGTTCACACGGTGCGACATCAACCCAAGCAACTTGTAAAAGCCCTGCGCTCTGCGCACATGATCATAGATAGTACAATGCTCCACATGGGACACATGGCATGCTTTAAAAGACGCTGAGTGTCAGACTTATGACATTGCGCGAACCTTAAAACGTTAGGGAGGGAACAGGAACTGTAGGGTGGGAGAGAAAAGAGAATTAAGAAGGAAAGCAAACCCTCTCACCTCGGATGAATCATATTACCCATATATGTTCACACGGTGCGTCATCAACCCAAGCAACTTGTTAAAGCACGGCGCATAGCGCACATGATTATATTTAATACAATGCTCCCAAAATACGCATAGGCAACGGGGTGGTTCAGGGAGGGCGGGTCGGGAAAGAACATCAGGAACACAATACTCAGCAATCGCGAGCGCAACGCACCTGGCCAAAGACGGCGCATGTTCTTGCGCCTTTCAAGCTCATTCATGAAGGCTGTGTCAAAAAACAAAGTGGCCATCTTCGTGGCCAGGTGTTTGGGAGATGCTGCGGCCCGTCGGGTCCACTTAACGGCTGACGGGTCTGCACTGGACAGGATGATGTGGGGCTCTTTCGTGAAACTGCACGGCGCGGGAGAATGACTCTTACGCGTTCGAACGATCGAAGCAAAGGTTGGAATCCCAAACGACACCACCGAGGTCGCCTTCCGCCATCTCGCGCCGTATTCACACATATGGAAGGTATGGAAGTCGACCTCTGGCTTCGACAAAAGGCGCGTAAACCAGGGCACCTGCCAGAGGAGACTGGTCTGCGGGTTCTCCACAATGAACGACGCACCAAACTGCATGGCTAGGAGACATAGGATGTAAGTCTGGTGTACGAGGTAGTTAGCATGGTCGGGATTGTCTGTATCAAGTTTACTGCAGCTGGAAGGCCGTAGACACGCTCACGATCTCGGGTAGCGGGCCGTCTGGCAATGCGGGCCTTCGGTGGAGCTCCCTATGGGGCCACGAAACGTGTGAGGGGTGTGCCGAAATCGGTGTGGGGGACGCATGCGGGCGGTGGCATTGGCGCCTTCTGTGGAGCTCCCTATGGGGCCATGAATCGCCTGAGGGGTGTGCCGAAATGGGTGTGGGTGGCGCATGCGGGCGGTGGCACTGGGGCCTTCGGTGGAGCTCCCCATGGGGCCACGAAACGTGTGAGGGGTGTGCCGAAATGGGTGTGGGTGACGCATGCGGGCGGTGGCATTGGGGCCTTCGGTGGAGCTCCCTATGGGGCCACGAAGCGTGTGAGGGGTGTGCCGAAATGGGTGTGTGTGACGCATGCGGGCGGTGGCACTGGGGCCTTCGGTGGAGCTCCCTATGGGGCCAAGAAACGTGTGAGGGATGTGCCGAAATGGGTGTGGGGGACGCATGCGGGCGGTGGCACTGGGGCCTTCGGTGGAGCTCCCGATGGGGCCACGAAACGTGTGATGGGTGTGCCGAAAAGGGGGGTGGGTGACGCAGGCGGGCGGTGGCTCTGTGGCCTTCAATGGAGCTCCCTATGGGGCCACGAATCGTGTGAGAAGTGTGCCGAAATGGGCGTGGGGGACGCATGCGGGCGGTGGCACTGGGGCTTTCCGTGGAGCTCCCTATGAGGCCACGAAACGCGGTACTGTGTGGGTGAAGCGCAGGGAAGAAGGGAAGGAGGGGGAGGAGGGAGGAGGAGAAGGGAGGATGCAGGAAGGAGGAGGAACGCGGGGACCGTCTCTTCAAAACGAGGACCCGACGCCACAGGATGGTTGGGACTGATACTTAGAAAATGCTATGGGGACGATTTTGCGACTATGTTTGACTGTTGTTTACATGTTTTGACTATGTTTCAGCTTTCGCCCAAAATCCGCCTGTACGAAGACATGCTCGACTTAATTCCAGTAGTCAAATGCTCGACTGCATCAGGACTTGAGGGGGTCTGGGATCCCCACCGACTCACCACGCGGTGTGGTCACCGCACCGTTCGGGGGCCCCCCGAGGCCTGGCGAGGGCCCCCAGAGGACGACCATATGAGAGGCAACGATGGGGGGGACTGGCATAGGGGGGGGGACACATCGACCTGGAATCGCCGGTACATCGCCGATGCATCGGCGATAGGCCCCCGATCGTGACTCCGCACGTTCCTGGGCAGGTTGGGGCTTTCGGGCTCTCATTGGCGATCGATGGGCGATTGGGGGTCGATGCGTTCCCCTCTTTGCTTGTCCCCCCACCCATATCGCTGCCCCTGAAAATGGCGACGAAAAGCAACGTCGTGTTGTTTTGCATGACTCGAGGCCCCGACGCGAGGGAGGGAAGAGGGAGGAGGGAAGAGGGAGGAGGTAGGAGTGAAGGAGGGAGGAGGAAAAAGGGAAGGAGGGAGGAGGAAAGAGGGAGGGGGGAGGGAGGAGGGAGGAGGGAAAAGGGAAAAGGGAGGAGGGAGGAGGAGGGCGGAGGGAGGAGGGTCGAGGGAGGAGGCGAGAATGACAAACAAAAACACGTCGCGTTCTTATCGTGACTCGAGGCCCCGACGCGCCGCGCCTCTCGCCGCCGGCCGCACGGTGCCGGGCGCCAGGGCGCGGACGCAGAGGCGGCCCGCCCCGAGGCCGAGGGCGCCGTGCCTCGTCGGGGGGGAGGGGGCGGGCCGGGCTGGGAGGGGGGGGATCGCTCCCAGCTCGAGGGGGGGGAGGATTGCTCCCCCTCCTCCTCGAGCTTCCTCCTCCTCCTCTTCCTCCTCCTCCTCCTCCTCCTCCTCCTCCTGACTGAGGAGGAGGACGAGGGGGCTAGGAGGGGGGACAGGGGAGGAATTGCGGGCGACACTTGGCGCGGCGAGCCCGGGGGGGAAGCGAGGGCCTCCTAGATGGGGTTCGAGTAGATGGGGTCGGAGGATCGCGCCGCATCGGCGACGCATCGACGATGCGCGGGGGATGCGCTGGCGATGCATCGCCGACGTCGGCGATGCATCGGCGACGTCAACGTGAAACCAATCGGGATCCACATCGAGCCGCATCGGCGATGCATCTGCGATGCGGCGCGATCCTCCGACCCCATCTACTCGGACCCCATCCAGGAGGCCTAGATCGGAGGTGGGAGGATCGCTCCCAACTCCGCTGCCAACTAGAATTGCGGGCGACACTTGGCGGCGAACCGGGGGGGGAAGCGAGAAATTGCGACCCTTCTCGGAAGGCTCGGAAGTCCTCCGGCCTTCTGAAACGTTTTCTCGGCCTTCCCCGGAGACGCATACAACCTCTCAGCAGGCCCGAAGTCTTCTGAGAAACCCCGCCGCCTTATCCTTCTCACTCCCCCCCTCGCTCGTCGCCGACACACGGGTGAAACGTAGAAGGCATTGCTGTATGGTCTAGGGATGGCGCAAAACACTTTTGGCACAACCGCCGACGTTTTGCCCCGGGGGGGTACTGACAATGCCGGCTGGGGGCTACCGACGAACCCAGCCGGGGGATACTGACAAACCCCGCTAGGGTCCACTGACAAGCCCCCTACTGACACAGACAATGGCACCGACAGACACTGACACTGACACGCTGACAGGGACACACTGACACTGACACACTGACACTGACAATGACAACGAAACTGACAGCCAGTGTGTTTCATGAGTGGCGGAATGCCAAAACGCATCGGGCAAGAAGGTGGCGTGAGGACCACGGACAAGCCCTCTGACAAGCCCCATGAAAAGCCAACTGACTTGCCACTGAAAAACCACAGGCCTGCCACTGACATGCCACTGGCGTGTCAATGTCACGTCAGTGGCATGTCAGTGGCATGTCAGTGGCTTGTCAGCGGTTTGTCGGTGGGCACGCCAGTGGGTTTTCAATGGTCTTGTCAGTGGCGTCTTGGCTTAAGACTGAATGATTTGCTGCCGTCCGCGACGTAACGTTAGAGATAACAAAACGTGTGCACTTTTCTCCTCGATGTGCTATACCACGTGCGCGCTGCAAGCCGGAACGGCAGCGGGCTCGCGCGCGCGCGTTCCTGTTCGAGCGGGGGGGGGGAGAGGGGGAGGAGGAGGGGGGGAGGCGACGGATGTACGAGAAGGTCAAGCTCCTCCTCGCATCGGCCTCGTCACCCGATCGGGCGGAAGGAACGCGGGCGGGCCTCCTGTCCCGCGGCAGTTTGAGTCTGGCCTACGCGCCCGATGCGCGCGGCAAGACAAGGAAGAGAAGGCAACGCAAAAAACGGGCGGGTTACCTCGGGACTCGATCCAAGATGTCGTTCGAATCCTCGCCTCCTTCGGCGGTGCTGGGCCCCGCGGGCGAACGGGCTCTCCTGGGGGCCATGTCGCGGCACCGTCTTGGGGGGGCAGTCTGACAGGCAATCCTGCTGATGACGGCGCGCTGACTCGGTGCCACGTGCCCAAGACAAGCCCC